GGCTGCGGCTGTGCAAGGAGGCCAGCTACTTGGTGCGCAACAGCGAGACCAGCAAGAACGACTTCTCCCTCTCCTTGAAGTGAGTGAGCCTGGATGGGGTGGGGGGGGTGGCTGGACCCACGGCCGAGGTGGCCCAGTGCCATGAGTGCCCTGTCATGGGTGGGTACCCCACGTGAACACGTGCCCGTGCCAGTGGGGTAACTCCGAGATGCCCACGGAGTGGTCAGAAACGGCTGGAATGCGAAGGCTGCATTTCTCTGCGGTGTGGCACAGGCTTCTGGTTTGGTGTCTGGCAAAAGTATCTCTCGGGAAGGCTTGCAGGTCTGCAGGCACGCTGCCCTTCCCTTGGCAGCGTGCTGGCAGTCCCTCAGATGGCTAAAAGGATGTGCCTCACCGCTCACTGCGATGTGTCTGGTTACAGCTGCTAGCTCGGGCTTCGTGTTACCCTGTTTTCTTTGTAGCTTAGTTTCATGGGAAAAGAAAGTTTGTGGGATCCCCTTGTTGATGGACATGCAGGTACCCACTCCTGCCTCCCCAGCCCACGTAATCTTTGAAGCTGCTGCTCAACCACACTTTGGAGAGGGCATCACCCTGCTTTGGTTTCCCTGCTGGGAAACCTCACCCCCACAGCACAGTTTGGTTTCTGCTCAGGTTTTGGGGGGGAAATTTTGCACCCGCCTCAAGTTTTCCAGATTCCCTTAGTGCCAAAACTGCATGAAGCATCACCGCACGTGTCCTGCCAGGGAGAAGCTGCCCATAGCTCCTCATCCAGCTCTTTCAGGACTCTTGGGACAGCCTGAACCGACGAAATCAAAGCTGTTACTGTCCTGAAGATGATGATGGATTAGCAAATACCTTCCTGCCCTCCTGCTGGACGAGTATATTAGCTCTGTTCCTGGCAGATGTGGAAAAAGTATTTATTGAGCACTTCAGTCATCTCCATCCAACAACAGGCCACGTATCCTTACGCTTTTCTCAGTATACTTTAAATTTCCCCAGCGGTCTCTGTACCTGCATTGCTCCCTGGTGGTTTCAGCCTCCCCTGCTTATTTCACAGTAACACAATTGTGAATTAGATTGCTCCTCTCTCGATGTAGGTTTTTTTTTCCACTTTTTTGCTGTCTTCAGCACCAAACCAGGGCAGAAGTTTAGCTGAAAATATTCTTCCTTCCTTCTGCACTCGTAGCTTTCAGATCAGACAACAAGCCTTTCCGGAAAAACTCCCTCCATTCCTTTTGTTTTGTCAGAATGTTTACTGATGTTTTAATTTTTTCAGTATTTTTTCCTTGTCCTAGCTTGTAAGCAGTTTTTGAAGCAACAGGTTCTGCCAGTCGATGAGCCATATTCGAGGCTGCGAGAGGTCCTCTCAGCCTTGCGGGTGGCATTAGCCATCATGTGGTTTGGAGACCCTGGGCGGTGACGCTGGGGTTGTTGATGGGGCTTCCTCCCTCACCAGCACGGGTGCCCCTTTCCATCACCTGTCTACAAGCCAGTTACCCATTTCTTTGGGTTTTTTCCCTTGCTTCTCACTGCCTGTCCTTAGCCTCGTGGCAAAAACGGCCAAATCCCCTTCTCAACTGGCATCTGTGGCTAGGACGTGCAGATGGCATGCCACCTCCCCAGAGGAGACGGCAGCCTGTCCAGGAGCTGCTCGGGCATTACCTGTCCACCAGCTGTGCTTGCAGAGAGCCCACAGCCTCGGGAATGTGATTTTTGCTCCGCTGCCTTTCTCTGTAGAGCCTTTTCAAGGAAAATCCCCTGGGATGCTTTTTATATAGCTGTAAGCTGGCTGTCTGCATCTCTATCTTTTTTTTTTTAAACTCTCTTTATTTTTTTTTTTTTTTGCTTGAGGAAGGAGGTGCAGTGGAGGAGATGGTCTTGAAAGAGAGCTGGGGTGCTGACCTAAAGCCCGTTTGTGCTGCTTTAAAGGAAAATATGCACGAGAGAGCAGCAGGAGCAGCTGTACCCGTAGTGTGTCAGGTAGCCAGAAGGATTTAACCCTGCTGTGTCCTGGCTGGCCCAGGCGAGGCAGCCCAGCTTTCCCGTTGCAGTGTCATTGCCTCAAATGCTCTGGGAACATCCTTCCTGGCCCGTGCCTCCGTGGGAGTGGCTGAGGCCACGCTGCGAAGGTTTGGGTCCTTCCTCACGTCTGTAAGGTGCTCGGCAGGAGCAGCACCTGCGTGCCGTCCCCGCTGCCGGCTGCGATGCTGCCAGGTTTGCAGCCTGCTCCTTCAAGCGCCTCTCCGGGGTCTGATGTCGTCACATTCCTGAGCTTGTGACAAAGACCCATGGAACGGTTCCGGCAAAATGCAACCGGCGTCACCTCGCTGGGGACCCGTGTGGCCGTGCTCGCACGCTGGACTGGCACCAATCCTGCACTGGGGTCCTGCGCCGCTGCCCCCTGCCAGCACCAGGGTCTGCCCGCAGGCAGGGCACAGCACCCACGGGCAGCTGTGCGTGTCGGCGGAGCGACCGTGCGCGTGTGCAGGGTAAACCCGTGCGCCTTTGCGAGGTGCTGAGCACGG